AACTTTTTTTGTTCATAACTTTTTTATAAACAATGAGCGACGGATAAAACCTTCATATTATTATTCAGAGAGGTGACCTTGATAACATATGTCAAAATTGTTGAGATCGGAAAATAGTCCGTATAACTGCATAATTACCCAGCTTTTTTCTGGTCACTGTAAATCCGCATTCCATTGCGTCGCTAACGCTCTGTTAACGTAACGCGTAGCATCTCGCAACGATGTTTACTTTCCATCAGGGAGTCGAAGCGTCTGGCATTCGTTATTCCGTTCGCGAGACAGTTTCCAATTTCCGAGGCTAGAGTCATGGCCGCTTCTCACATGTCCTCCTGATTTTGTCTCCATCTCGCACATCTCGTGACATCGTAGCGGCATGTATATATATATACTCGCACGATGATTAACCAATCCAGGCTATTTCGTGAGTGGTACGTGCAAATGGAAAGAAGAAAGTGCGAAATGCGAATTAACAAAGCAACTTCTTCTGATTGCGCTAGTTCCACAGCGTAGCCGCATTTTCTTCTCGCATTGTTCTTCAAAATAAATAATTCAAAAGAATCTCTCCCGGTGCTACCTTTCGTGACCTCGTTTTCCCCTGCTGCTCCCTAAACAACTAGATCGCAGATGCCACATTCTACAATTTCTTTGTATCTTAGAGTCTGCGTTTGTTTTCTCGTTTGTTCTTTCGCAGACTTCGGCATAGCTTCTGTACAAACCATTTTATTCCTTACACAAGTCCTTGGCATACCTAAATGTACGTGTAAAGCGCTGTCTGAGTGCTGTTTTGATTTGTTTTCGTGTTCCAGTATATGATACGCGTTTTCCTCGTGAATCACTTCATCGCATCGGAGTCTTGTTTTGGCTCCAATTCGACGAAAATTCATAAGAACTCGAACATCTCGAGTCAAACAGGATTTGAAAGTTATAGGTGAATCAAACGTGACTTGTCTTGAAATATAATTATACAGTCGAACCTCGATAACTCGCATCTCAATAGAAGAGCTAAAATCGTTCAGTTGTAGAGGTTTCGACTTATCGAAGTTCGTTTTTCTTTTCCGCGGAACGCAAGGGAATAAACAAAATTTTTGTTCTATAGAGGTTTTCGAGTTATAGAGGTTCGAGTTATCGAGATTTGACTGTATATATGTCTTATACGTAAATTTATTACAAAATAGGATGTAAATCGTACACCGTGACATTGTACAATCATTTGCAGTCGTTATTTACGTCGTTTCCGGCGATCAATCGCGCGAGAAATCGCACATGTTATATTGTGTACATTTCGCGCACAGCGCGAGCCAAATGGGCACGTAATGCGTTTAATAGTAGAGCAGGACACTTGCTTTAGAGGATTTCCTTTACTTATTAGCTGATATATGCCATCCTATATTACAAGGTATGGTAGTTTTAATTACTTCCTGGTGTTCTTTGATATACTACGCCGTACGGGAACATCTTTGAACAAGAAATATAAGCGCGGCGGTACTGGCTACGGAAATACGACACGGAGCGCATTGGATTGTCTTCCGTGAAAAACACAGCAGACTGTACAACTCTAAAATCTACAAGCTGTAAAATAGCTGTAAAACGGCTGCGAAATGAAAAAGAATTCGACGTATACTAAGTGTAAGTAGTTTTTTGTGTGCGCGCGTACATTTATTCATTTAATATTGAGCGCATCGCGGCACATATATAATGCGCATGTTTAACACAAATTCTGAAGAGCTAAAAGAGAGACTTTGCGATGCCGTTTCTGATAATGTGTAAATAATATAATGCGAAAGTGGATCGTTGCGCGGAGAAAGGCGTTGCAATTTAATGTTCTTTATCATTATTTATATATTAAGACGCTTTCTCGAACGAAAAACACGACTAAGGTCGCTTAAAGGCAAGGCGCGCGCGATACAGTTTTCAGTGAGCGAGTATCATTGTGTTAAAAGCGTTACAGATTAATTTTTCACTATTTCTCTTTCGAGTTTTTGTCTTATATTGCTCGCAGTCCATTGTCGTGAGTAAGGCGATACAATTGATTAGAAGAGATGCAATTATTTTTCTTCATGTCGTATCTAATACGCTCAACATCCGAATAAATGTTATTTAAATAATGAATAACGGGCTCTCGAACCAATTACAGGATGTTATGCATTAATTATAAATCTCTTACAAGTAAGAGTTAATCCAAACGTTTCAACTTTATTATTAAGTCATCATCAGTGGATATCAAATCTTACAAAACTATATACAACATTTCTTTGTTACACATGATTATAGTCCACTATCACCTGTATGTGTGTGTTCGTGTGTCACATGTGTGTCGAGACTGTGTGAGATGATCTGTACAATGTTGTGCGAATCTCTATTTTTGAACAACTAGTTTCAAGTTGTTCAAAAATAGAGATTCGCACAACATTGTACAGATCATCTCACACAGTCTCGACACACATGTGACACACGAACACACACATACAGGTGATAGTGGACTATAATCATGTGTAACAAAGAAATGTTGTATATAGTTTTGTAAGATTTGATATCCACTGATGATGACTTAATAATAAAGTTGAAACGTTTGGATTAACTCTTACTTGTAAGAGATTTATAATTAATGCATAACATCCTGCAATTGGTTCGAGAGCCCGTTATTCATTATTCAAAATTTTCGTTGCGAACCCGAGGACACCTCAACACACAGTTAAATGTTATTTAATAATCTTACGAGCGTAAGGCGCCTTTCTTTTGTATGTCGAATATTCAATGGCTCGGTGTATAATTTAGACGTCAGATTGCGTTTTTGAGGAATAATATGAGAAAAGACGGTTGTGGCATCGCAAAAAGTGCATCTTCCCATCGCATTTATTTCGCCGCTTCGTCGCTGTATACGCTTCAGCAGTAGCTCGAGTGGAGCCGCCATGTGGCCGAATTTAACATTAATTGTGCGCAGTTAGATCCTGAGTTACATTAGGAGTACACAGAAAATGAGCTCCAAAGTTGTAAAAAATAAGAAATCTGCACGTACTTGTTGCATTGTGGGGTGTACATCTCGTGACTCAAAAAATCCGGAATTAAGTTTTTACTCGTTTCCTGGAAAATCATGGGAACGTGAACGTAAAAAAAAATGGATTACTGCAGTTCGTCGATTGACGTAAGTACAACCTAAATTTTATTTGTATTTGATTACATCGAAATAATATGCATAAGAAATTTACTTCAATTATTATCTAGATTGTTATGAATTTATCTATTATTATGTCTTAATCTCAGGGTAGACGGTAAAACGTGGGAGCCAACAAAACATTCACGAATTTGCAGCCTACACTTCGAGGGGGGTAAAAGATCAGAAGATCCCAGACAGACTGCGTATATTCCAACAATTTTTCCTAACATTTACCGACGGAAGTCTATCAAAAATGCTCTGAGATTGGAGAGACTGCAAAGAAGAAATCAGAAGTCGGAAGCAAAGAGTAAATAAAGTGCTTTTTTAAATATTTGTTTTACGTAGAAAATAACTATCCAAGTGAGCCTATTTTTCCTGATTCTAGGAGATGGAACTGCTTTATTTCAATGTAGCTCATCTGAAGCAGCAATGACTGACGTTTTTCTGAGTGTCCACAGTGTCGAGGTACAAACGGAATTAGATTACAGTTGTCCCGATAATGTATCAACAATGTATTGTTGGCAAAATTCAGCAACTAATGAAGTATCAACACAAATAAGTATCGCGGTTAAAAATTCCGCAAAATCTGTGAAAAAAGTGATAGTAATTGCTCCGAAATCAACAGAAACAAAGACCGTCAAAGTAGGGNCTGATCATAATCTGACCCTAGGATTTTTAGGCTTTGATGATGTAAAATCCGATTCAAACATGAAGCAGATTGCCGGAGTCACACTGTCAGCTTTTTTAATTCTTTTAGAGTTCATAAAACCTCAGAAAGATGGGCAACCCAAGTACTATAAAGTACTTAATGCTCAAAATCGATTATTATTATTTTTGATGAAAATGAAGCTGGGCTTAACTTTTGGAGCAGTGGCAATTTTTTTTCGAATTTCTGCATCGAGTGCATCTAATATTTTTTTTAGTGTTTTAGATACTTTATATACAAATACGAAAACCTNGATATTTTGGCCAAGCAAAGAGGCTACTAAATTCTCATTGCCGTTGGCATTCAAAAATTATCCAAATTGTCGTGCGATTATAGATTGTACAGAAATTCGAACAGACACACCACCTTCAGTGGAAAAGCGAGCATTGATGTATTNAACTTATAAATCAGGTTTTACTGTTAAATATTTAGCAGCAATAAGCCCATCGGGAAAAATAATTTTTATATCGAAAGGTTACGGTGGTAGATCGACAGATGGTTTCATTGTTGTGGACTCTGGATTTGTTAACCTTTTCGCTCCGGGACTGGTCCATATATGGACCAGCAAGAAAAGCGAACGTAATAGATGTTTATAAGGTCAATTTAATGCACTAAATTTAGGAAAAAAATTGAAAAAAATCCTGGTTACTTCTTTGACCTTCAAAATTAACTTTGAAGGGGAGGGGGTAGCAGGTTCTTATTAACTTTTTCAGCTAAAATGCGAGGTCAATTTTAAAGAAAAAATCCCCGGAGCGAAAAGGTTAATTTAATTGAACCAGGTGACGAAATCATGGCCGACAAAGGATTTCCTACAATAAAAACAGAGCTCTTTAAACGTCAGTGCGTTCTAGTTATGCCACCATTTGCGCATAATCCACAGTTTTCGAAAGAAGAAGTTTTAGAGGGATATGCTATAGCCAGTGTTCGAATTCACATAGAGCAGGCTAGAGTCCCTGGAAATAAGAGTCTGGCCAATGTTTAATCTGAAACAAAATGGCGTCGATAATTACTATATATATCGTATTCTATATCGTATAAGGCCGATTTCCTTATATCTCCCGATAGCTATTCTTTAAAGAAATATATAAAAACATATATTGTATCTTATCTAAAACTTATTCAGAAGTGGAGAAATTGGACATAAAACCTATAATAGAAAAATAGGTATGTACAGACACTGTGCAACAAAAAATGACATTCTAACCTTCTGTTAACAATTTGATAGAATAATTGCAAATTTATTTATGTGTTTGTTTTGCAGAAAATGACTGGTTGTTGCGTAGTTGGCTGTTTTAATTTGTTAATATTA